ATATTCTCTCCCTCTTGTATCTCTTGTATCTCTATGTATCTATCTCCCTCCCAAACTTCTCCCTCATCTATCTACAAAAAATACAAGAAAATCATACAAAATATAGAAAAATCGAATTCACAACAATTGGTATCCAGAGCGGTCGATCCATGAGCTCTTTTTCGATCAACTAGAAAAGCAAAAAAAAAATGTTAGAACACAAGATGCAGCTGGAAATTCAGAAAGGAGAGGTCAACCATTTGAAGATACAAAGTCAAATTGATGGTTTCGAATCAAACATCAATGGGTTCAAATCAAATTTCCAGTTGTAGATGTTTTGAGTAAATAAAAAATTGGATCAAGCCATTCAGGTAGATGAATCCATTCAAACTTATTTTCAATCGGCAAAAAAAAAAAAAATATCAGAAAAAAGCAAAATCACCCTAAATCATAAATCTTCCAGCTCAATTGTACCCAACACAAATTCTTTCCCAATTAACCTCATCTCTAAACCCTCCAAACTCTCAACCATTTTTTTCATGAAATTCATGAGAAAATTCTAAGACCAACTTCAAGGGAAAATCAACAACACAACACCCAACCCAAAAACCAAACAATCTAGAATCACAACCCATTTTTCATGAAATTCATGACGAAAAAACTAAAGAACTTGGAAGCTCAATGTTCATTGAAAAGCCTATCGAAATTTCAAATCAAGAGCTCAAATCAAGAGCTGATACGTGTGGTTGTGGTCGAGCATATATACCTGGAAACGATACCACAAGTTAGTGAATATGTTGAGGTCTTAGATATGGCTGTAGTGGATAACCAAACACCGAAAGATGGAGAGCTTGATGAAGTACTCGATCCTCCTGGTGAAGGTGAAGGTGAACTGGACCTGTTGGGACTGTTCCAAGTGAGAACGGTAACGTTGAGATGGACGTCCTTCGTGATAGATCGTGGAAGACGAGCACGAGGTGAGGGCTGTGTGGAGAAGACAAGGGACGACGACCTCAAAGAGGCTTGGTATCGCCGGTTTCCGAAACGTGATGGTAGATGTAGATCTTACTCACGACGAACCTCGAAGGAGCGGAGCTGGTCCTTCCTCGCCGGAGTTGCAGCGGCGACGAACGAAAAAGGTAAGGGGATTCGCCGTCGGACGTGTCGGCCTCGCAGTTACGAGAAGAACCAAAACGGCGGTCGGGAAAAGGCTAAGATCCATCAAATTTACAAGAGCGGCAGGCGTTCGAAAGCTTTCGTCGGCCTTGTTTCACAGCCCCTCTGTAGCCTCGGAATATACTCATGTGTTGTGTTGGAATTCTCGATCGACCACCGTGTTTCCATATACGGCGAGACCACGCTTCCGAACGCCTGCCGCTCTTGTAAATTTGATGGATCTTAGCCTTTTCCTGACCGCCGTTTTGGTTCTCGTAACTGCGAGGCCGACACGTCCGACGGCGAATCCCCTTACCTTTTTCGTTCGTCGCCGCCGTAACTCCGGCGAGGAAGGACTAGTTCCGCTCCTTCGTGGTTCGTCGTGAGTAAAATCTACATCTACCATAACGTTTCGTAGACCGGCAATACCAAGCCTCTTTGAGGCCGCCGTCCCTTATCTTCTCCTCACAGCCCTCACCTCGTGCTCGTCTTCCACGATCTATCACGAAGGACGTCCATCTCAACGTTACCGTTCTTACTTGGAACAGTCCCAGCAGCTCTAGTTCACCTTCACCAGGAGGATCGAGTACTTCATCGGTCCATCTTTCGGTGTTTGGTTATCCACTGCAGCCATATCTAAGACCTCAACACATTCACTGACTTGTGGTATTATTTCCAGGTATGTATGCTCGACCACAGCCACACGTATCGGCTCTAGATTTGAAATTTCGATAGGCTTTTCAATCAACACTGAGCTTCCAAGTTCTTTAGTTTTTTTCTCATGAAAAATTGGATGTGATTCTAGATTGTTTGGGTTGTGGTGTTTTGTTGTTGATTTTCACTTGGAGTTGGTCTTGAATTTTTCTTCTGAAATTCATGAAAAAATGGCTGAGAGTTTGGAGTGGAGGTTAATTGGGCAGGAATTTGTATTGGGTACGATTGAGCTGGGAGATTCATGATTTGGGGTTGTTTTGCTTTTCTCTAATTTATGTTTTGAAAATAAGTTGTTGAATGGATTCAACTACTTGAATGGCTTATCCAATTTTTGATTTAATCCAAATATTTGCAACTGGAAATTTGATTTGAACCCATTGATGTTTGATTTGAAACCATCAATTTGGCTTTGTATCTTCAAATTGCTGACCTCTCGTTTCCGAATTTCCGGCTGCATCTTGTGTTCTAACATTTTTTGTTGCTATTCTAGTTGATCGAGAAATAGCTCGTCCACCATCGACCGCTCTTGGATACCAATTGTTGTGAACTCGATTTTTCTGTATTTTGTATGATTTTTTTGTAGATAGATGAGGGAGATGAAAGTTGTGGAGGAAGATAGGTACAAGAGGGAGAGATAATTTTGGCATCCAAAATCTTGTTTCATTTCACGTGTTTCTCCCCTTAAATAACCACTCATGGGTCCCCAATTAAGCCTAATAACATCAACCCACTTAGCAACTACTACATCTCATAATAGGCCCAATTATACTACTTATAACAAAGCCCGAAATATAATTACTAATAAACCCAAGGTAACATAATAATAACTTGGCCTGTGTATATATATATAAAGCAGACGCCCTTCACTTCACCCTACTCGGCTCATCTCCATAACAGTTGAAAGATTGTGAATGGATTTAAGAGAAAAATGTAATGATTAGAGATGATGTGATATGTAAATAATAATATACTAATTGTTAGTGATTGATAGTTAGAAATCTGCGAGTGAGTGAATGGTTTTGGATGTTGGAAACTAAATGATAAGGCATGACTTATATTTTCTAATTTTTCGTGGGATTGTGGAGAAAAAAAAAAGAGATGAAATGAATAGTAAGATTTTTTTGTTTTTTTTCAAACTTCAATGAGATAAATCTTGTTTAACCAGGCAAAACTGGACATTTATAATATACTATCGCCACCTTAAGGTCAACAGCAGTGCTTTGTCTACTTAGACTGTAATCAATTCTAGACTTCTATGTTCCCCCATTTCAACTTTAGCTTTTAATGAGCCACGAAAGGTGAATGGAGGTCAATGTAACCAGGACTGAACTGAACTAAGAAAGCGCACTCACAAAAGCAAATAAAGAAAAGGAATCACTAGATTTAATGTATTGATTAATTCATCCCTTAGGGAATTGGAGTTTGAAAGGCTCAACCCAAAAGGGTTAATAAGATGGTAAAAGGATACGTCTCATTGTCAAATAGATCCCTGACAGAGGGAAAAAAAGGGTCAGAAAAATCTGCTCATGGTGGTTAAATTTGTTTTTATTGAAGTTGGTTAATGAGTTACTACTTTTCAGGTGAATCTGAGGACGACCGCGAGGAGCTCATAACGGCTGCTAACCTTGCTTTCCATGCTAGTCGTATGTGTTCGGAACCCAATAATCATGTTTACTGGATATATTTCAGATATGCTAATTGTGTAATGTTCAATTTCTATGCTATGCAGTTAATGCTTGTTCGAGTGCATTCTGGAAAACAGTAGAGCCCTTGTTTGCTTCCGTTGACCCTGATGAAGAGTCATTTTTATCAAGACAGGTACTCAATTTTTTTTGTAGATTGTATGATTCTGTAGCTAACTGTTGCCTAATATTTTATTGTTCTCATTTTCATTGAGTCACCTCAAATTAGCTGAAGAATCATGCACAAGTTCTTATCAGAACTATGGCCTTGAAAATAATGTTCAAGTAAAATTGGTGTGTAAATGCAACATTTCTTGCCCATTGCATTGGCTTAGCTATGTTTCCTCAACACCCCTTCCCCCCTGAGTATGTGTTTCGATTCGTATTGTTAGAAGTCATATATTCATATACTCATGAGCGAGTCTGCTGCCAATTCACGTGACATTGCCGTAGTATGTATTTATAGAAAATCAAATAACAAAATCAGAAAAGTTACCCAAAGGTGTAACTTGATTGCCAAAATTCCTGGTCATGTATCAAAATTTGCGTATGTCACAAACATTCCCTGATATTTGTTTGTACCGTAACTCTCGCATCTTCATTAGAGTATGTACAATCCCCAAAGATATGTTACACTTTAAGTGGGTATTTGTATTTTCTAAGATAATTTTTCTTTTTAGAAATAATAGATTAAACCTCAATGGAAATTAATATTTTACGATAGCCCATCGTGTGCATTGATCACTACTCTGACTCTACTTTGTATGTCGTGTCGTACCAGGCTGATTACAGCCATGAAAATATGGCAGCGCCTGATTCTGTTTATTTTGGCGGATATAGAAGCATAAAAAATGCAATCCGCTCGGACAGCTCTTTGGATACGATGGGATTTGTGGATCAGCTCCGAGCTTCTCCATTATATGGTTGCTCAGAAAGAGAGAGAAGATATGATGTAGTTCCTCCGCTTTATCAAAGAGTTCTCTCCGCTCTCATTGTGGAAGATGAAATTGAAGAATCTGAAGACACTGGTTTTGGGAGAACGAGAAGCTCAATTCATGACTCACGCTTCCTTATTGGCGCTGACTGTAAACCTTTGGATAAGATAAGCCTCAGTGAGCCAATGTTTGGTACTCAAACTCCGAAAACTAATAACGCACACATCGTTTTTTCATGTAATGGAAATGCGAACTATGATAGAAGTCGCAACGCTCAAGATCATTATGGTAATGGTGAGGTGCTGCAAAGAGACGACGGATATGTGCACTCTGAGGTTGAAGTGCTGGTTAGACTCTCAAGGTGTGATTACGTTCTACAAAGTCTGCAGGCGAATAATTGTGGCGTTTCTTCTTTTGAGTGCCAGTATGAGCAGATGTGTGTTGAAGAAAAGCTTGTACTTGAACTTCAGAGTGTTGGTCTGCACTTGGAAGCCGTGGTAATGTTCAGAATTTCACATTGAAGTTTCAAGTTGCTAATCTTAGATAGTATTGTCCTATATCCTACTTTGTGAAAATGATAAGTTGAACATTTCATAAGCAGCAACTCATACCTACACACATGTTTGATTTCCACTTGATTCATCTTTAGT